AAAAAAGATGATTATTGGGATGCAATATTGATAATATCGCTAATCTTTAATATTGACAAATTCATATTAGTATAATATAGGATAAGATAATAATATTTCATGGAAATGAAAATCATAGAGTTAATACAAAAGATAGTTGGTAATTAATCATCCCATAAAACGAAAAACGAAAACAAACATCGCCAGAGTAATTGTCTACTGCATCGAGTGCATAATCTAAGACTAATAATGCAACAACTTAATTAAAAGAACTAAACGTCTATCTTCTCAACTTTGACTTTTGCATTCTTTCTAGTGCATGACTGTTGCGAATGAAAATCTTCATCAATAAAAGCTTCCAGATTATTGTCAACAACGACACGCTTATTTGAAGAGGGGGCCAACTCATCACCGACCGATGAAACAATGCTCTACACGGATAAGAGAAAAACGAAAGACTAATTTTATGCTTACAAAGTTTATCTAATACGACTAGGGCTGGAAAATTCATTTAACTTTAATGTCCCCGAAAATTTGTACTAACCGTATCAAGTTCAATGAATGGTTCAATGACAGACAATTCCACGGGAGTTTTGTCCTAGTAGTAGTCTATAAAAAAGAATTAGCAATTTGAACATTATATAAATTTGTTAAAAAAAAGTAGTGTAAAACTAATATATGGTTAATAATAATAATAATAATAATAATAATAATAATAATAATAATAATAATAATAATAATAATAATATACCATGTCATCACAAACTGCATTGCACCATTTAGAAATGATTGTTGCATCTTGGGTGAGTTTTTCTACTGTATGTGCTGGTTTAGATTGAACCTCTTTATGTCCAATTTGAATAAATAGCTTTTCTTGACTAATTGTTCAAGCTCATCAGGAAATGAGTCACCATCACCAACCTAAATTAATTAAGACAAAATATGATTCACTATGAACAAATATAAAATTTGGTTACCATATCTAGTGAATGTTTTAGGTCTGCAGCTCGTTTCCCTATAATGGGAAAGACTTGAGGGTCAAAAAGAATAAAGGAGGCACTTTCAGTATTGTCTTCCACAAGGACGTGCACACGATATCTATTCAGTCGTGAAGATAAAAATAGTTAGTATATTGTTATTGATAAAAAATATAGTATGTTATTAAAAACTAAACAAACTACAAATTTCAATTGATATATTATTTTGCCTCCTCACCGAGTCCGAAAGACATTAGGACGACAATTACAATTATTGCACCAAAATTCTTCTCATTTTTCCTTAACTTTACGGTAGCATTTATTGCAAGCATGATAATACCAATTTTGATTGGTTTGTATATGAACTACCTTGCAATGTAGAATACAGAAGCATTCCTGCATTACAAATTTTATTGAATATATTGAATCAAATTATGTTTGTATATCATTCCAAATTTTGTTCAAAAACACAATAAATAAACTTTATTAAAAAATGACCTCATTTACTGATTCCAAATCAATTATATTTTTGAATTCCAATTCAGATGGGAAGTTATCAATAGTTGATCCTTGGGATGCTTCTTCTCTTGAAGAATAAGAAACCGAACCACGAAGTGAATTGTTCTTTAAACTATATAAAAGTAAAATATCCAAATTTAATTGTGGAATTATAAAAGTCAGCAGCATGATGCAGGAAATATGTAGGTTTTACAAAAGTCATCTTATTGTATAAAATAGAGAAAAAAACACAAATTGACAAAGTGACAGAAAATACTTATCATAAATTACCTATTCATGTAAGAAGCAATGTTACCAACATCTTCATTAATCATCAACTTACTTGCAAACAGAGAATTTTGCAAGTTCACATGCGCTGTATTTAAACCAACCAAAATTTAATTTAAACTTATTTTTTTAAAAAATAAATTCTAGGATAAATCATAAGTTTGTGTTATTACCTCCCCATCTCTTCACCATGGCATATTGAAGTATAATAACTACTGGAACATCATTGTTGGATTTCTAGAATTCAGTCATTTGCATGGCAAATTTGTTCCACAATGTACAATGCATGGTATCACCGCTAATAAAACATAAGATAAAACACACAGAATAAATATATTTGTTCGTCTTTGCGCTTAACATACTCATTATTTAAGCAGCTACACAAACAATGAAATGATTATTTTGAACCATTAAATAATGCTACAGGAAGATTTCCTACTGAACATAAAGATCAGTTAATGTTTTGAAACATATGATGACTTTTTAGCACTTTCTAAAATTTCAATAGAATACTTCGATAGAATACTTCAAAACATTTCAAAACATTAAGTAATGCACATGGAATTTAATAGATAATGAAAATAAAAAATTAAGAAAGGAAAAAGTTGAATGCAGATCTCATGCCTCAAGTTTCAAAATCCTAAATGAATACACATGGAATTTAATAGATAATGAAAATAAAAAATTAAAAAAGGAAAAAGTCGAATGCAGATCTCATACCTCAAGTTTCGGAGATGTATCTTAATTCTCGTCAATTGATGACCATCCCGATCCATTTTGACAAGTTCATCAACATCATAGACTTCGGCAATCACATCTACATGACAATAAGAATAATGAAATACGAATAAAATTAGTTAGTTTGTTGGCCTCCGAATATGTAACCAGATATTACATGACAATAATATTCATATTAGTATAATAATACAAATTTCGAATATGAAGTTTAATTTACATAGCAAATAAATGCAATTGTACTCAAAGTTATTCCGAAGATCGTCAAAGCTAACGAAATTAAACATGTATCGAGGATTGTTAATATTCTCTGACAGCAGCTTCACTGACGTCAAATTATGAAACTTCAACAAACACTTATGTGGGGGTAGCACTATAGTCATCTGTGTTGTCCAAAATTTCAAAATTTCTCATTACATAAAAATTTCCTACAAGAATCATGTAGCGCCCCGTTCGTTTATGGAATATTTGGGATTTTTAATTAATATTATTGTCATTATTATTATTATTATTATTATTGTTATTATTATTATTTTATTTAAATGCCTAATTGTCTATTAAATGCTTAATGTGTATTATTATTATATAATTAATGTGTGTATTTTTATATATAAATATTATACGAATTTTATTTTAACTGTCGTGCGATCAACCTAGTTAGTTTTATTGTTGTAATAAATCGAGCCTTATTATTTTCAGCCCAAAAGAGCTAAATATTCCGGCCATGGGCCCGGGCAATTTGGTTTTAATTCTCGGATCATTATTGCTAGTATTATTTGGGCCCAATTTGACTGTTCGAATTTAATATTTCGACCCGAACCTTTCGTTTGACGATGGCCCATCTCGAATTAATCTCCAGACTCAAATTTGTGAATTTAATTTTGGCCTATTAGCTAATGTTTTTTGGCCCAAGTTGAGAAAAAGTCTCGGCCCAATGTCAATGAATTTGTCGGCCCAAAAGCTTAGTTTTTTTTTCCTCNAAAAAATAAATAAATAAAAAGGGAGAAGCCCTAGTCTTTTTTTAAAATCGATCGTCCTCTCCTCAGCACACAACACGCAGCTTTCTTCTTCTCCTATATCTCTCCCGATCTCACGCAGAGAAGCGAACAATTTCATCTCTCCCTCTCATCTTTTTCGATCGCCGCCATCGCCATCCTCTAGCAACGTCGTGAGCCCGTCCTTGTCGTGAACCAGTTCCGTCGCCATCACCATCACTGCGAGCAGGCCCGCCTTCCCGATTGTCGTCGATCTCTTCCACGCGCAGATGACCCGTGCTGCTGACTTCTGTCCGATCTGAGAGGGGACCTTTGTCGCGGGTTGAAGCCAACTCCCCGACGACCTTGAGTAGCAGCGCCCGGCGAGTTCGAGCGCACGTCCGACTTTCGGCAATCTCAACTCTGTCCGCAACTGAGATGGAAGCCGGCGACCTGAAGCGACTCCTTCTCCTCCTCGCACGAGCAAATCCGACGAGCCCTCCCTCTTCGCGTGCTTCCGATGTCCCCTGCCACCCGCGAAGGCCGTCCACCGCTGCTCCGCCCCGTCCCGCGTCTCAGGCCGCCATGAACCAGCAGGAGTCCCCCGTCGTCCCTTTCTCTGGCGGCAAATGACGACCTGCAACCCTAGCGGCGAGCAGCGGGTCCTGCCCTCTTCGACCACCCCGTGGCTTCTCTTCCGGGCAGCAGCAGCCCTGTCGTCTGGCGGTGGGCAGCCGACGACTCACAAACAGCCGTACCGAAGCTTTGTACGCACGAGACGAGCATCCGCCGTCGAGCCCGAGTACCATTCAGCTTCTCTTTCGATCGTTTTTCGAGTTTTCCCGAGAACGGTATCTAGTAAAATTCCGTCTCGTTTAAATCGTTTATGTGATTTATGTATTAAGTTTCATTTAAGAGATGCGATTATATTTGCGATAATGTGTTGATATGGTATATGTGAAAATCGTGATTTGTTGTGTGTTCGTATTATTCGAGATCTCTTCAATTATGAGAAATTGAATGAGACCTCGAAACTCGTGTAAGTCGGTGGATATTGGAACAACGTCGAGTCCTTGGCCTTATGGGAAGGCCTCGGAATGGCTGAATTAGTATTTGAATTATTAAAAATCGCACACTGCTCGGAATGACTTGAAATTTTTAGGGATATGTTATCTGTTCATTGCCAGCCTTGCGTAAAAATATCGTAATTTTTAGAGGCCTGTAGCTATTTTTAAAAATTAAAGTGAATTCTGATCAGAATATTGTTTAATGCTTAGTAAATTGGTTTGTGACTCAAATGAGCTGAAATTTTAGTATGTTGTGCTACTGTTGTGTTTGTGTGGTGTGTTAAGTTTTTAGAATTTTTGGGTTGAATTTGATATGGATAATGATTTGTTTTCTATTTCTTCTGAAAGTTGTATCAATTATTAAAAATCGGTTCTTCATTGAAAAATTCTGAAACTTGACTGCGATGCTTATTTTATTTTTATATTCATGCTGTTAAAAGATGGAAATTTTTGGAGTCCAATTTAATTCGGTTTTGATTTAAATTCGATAACTGCTGAATCTTGTCAGAATTTTTAAATGTAGCACAGATAATGTCCAGGGCTGAGATTTTTACATGTTGTCCATATTCTGTTGTAGCTTGTGAGTTTAAATTTTCAAGTCCTGATTCATTCATTAGGTTCAGATATAAATTCATGTGCGTTTTTGCTGAATTCTTGTAGGAATTTTATAAATTTATGTGCTTTGAGTTTGAAGCTGAAATTTTGTGGTTTTACTAATTTTTGGGAGATGTAATTTTGGGCAAAATTTCAAAGCTTAGGTCGTAGGGTAGCCTGACCATCTATTTTCATGTGATTAATGATTACTATTTTCAAAACATGATTTTGAAATGAAAAGTTGGGAATCGACTTGCTTTTCGTTTTGATGTGAGTTTGACTTGGTCAATCCTTAGATGGATTTATGTGAACTCCCTTATGTGGTTTGGTCGGGTTTAGTGCCGAGTCTTAATGTTACAACATCCACAGAACTTCACGAACTACTTAGTCGAAACAAGTTCGACTAGGTCTGTTTTGTTTTTTCCTTTTTAAGTCAAGATATTAATTGTAGGACCTTGACTTAATGTAGGTGTTTGAGGAGTCAAGCCTCGACCCACGTCTTTTCTGATAATTGCTATCGTCCATCCGAATTTCCAGGTGGGTTGTTATTCTAAAATTATCTGTGCAATGTGTGTTAAATATGTTATTGTTTGGCGTGATCTATGTATGAATGTGAATATGTAGCCTATCGATGTGAGCTATTATGATAGCCATCGATACGGTTGTCCCCGTCGATGTAATACGGTTGCCTTATGAGGCAAGTCTCCTTAAGACCTATTATGAAAGGCCGTGTCCTTGCGTGGCACGTACTCTCGCCGTTAGGGTAATGAATCCCCTTTTCGCGACTATTATGAAAGATGTGCACAGGAGTATTTATGTTTATGTTGGAGATGTGACATATGTGATATTACTTATGTTCATGCTGCGACCATGCCTATTTAACATATTACTATATGTGCATTGCATAGTGTGAGTACGATATTTAACTTTACTCACTCCCACCTGCTCGTAACTGATGCAGGTTAAGCAGTGGCGCGTGACGAGACAAGACGGATGATGGTCATTGCTTATTATGCTTATTAAATTGCTTCCGCTTATTTATGAACTATGTTGGTATTGAACTTGTTTGGATTGGATTTTGAACTTGTTCATTTTGGAAAACTTTCGGATTTGGTTTACGATGAAAAACCCTACTTGATATATGATTGAGTATGATCTGATGTTAAATTTATCGATTTGTGCTTAATGAAAACCGTTGAAAAATCGGGTAATGAATCCCTGTAGTTAAGTTATGATTTGAACTGTATTTATGAAAGGAATGAGTAACGTCAAACTTTATGATTCGAAAAATAAGTTTCGAAAATTTTTACCTTGATTTTTGGAAAAGCCATGGATTTTCTTTAAAAATCGATTGGAGCGTTACAGTTTGGTATCAGAGCCAGTCTGCGTTTCTGTAGACTGGTTTATATATGGTTAAGTGTTTAGATTTTGAATTATGACCACTCGTCTTCGTCACGCCGCGCTGCTTAAGGTATGTGTTTAAATAAGTATCAATGAAAATACTTATGTTATGAAATGTGATTTTGTATTCCCGCTCAAGTAGTTATAAGACTGCTTATGATATGACATGTTGAAATTGGGGCTTAGGATCTATCCACCTTTAATGAGATTGAACTCTAGTGTTTGATGTTGAACTCTAGTGATGTAGAGTTAAGTTCGGACTCTAGAGGTTCCTCGTTATGAGTTTCAGTATGTTGTTATCGAGATAAGTTATGCCCATAGCAGTTTCCCTTGCTATATAATTATATTCAATGTCTTCAAGTGAGGACCCGGTCAATGAGAACCGAGAATGTATTTGCTCTCTTCGGACCTTTGCCAGGTTTCGAAAATTATGAGATGAGTCGATGTTTTATAGGTTGTCAGTATCATGGAGGTTCATGGCCTCTGTTCAACCTCTGGTGTGTTATGTGTTTGGTATCTCTTCTGTCTTAGTAAGGGTGAGTTCATGCTAGCTCGAAGCATGGTTAGTCGGATAAGAGATAAGGATTATGTGATTTATTGATTCCCCTTTATGTGATATGATGAGATGAGTGTATTAGGTTGAGAGTCTCGTTTATATCATGATAGGTTTGGTCAGGTTCATATGATGTATATGTGATCTTCGATGATTGAGGTTGAATTTATGTATTAATGTGAATTGTTATATATATTATCAAACCAAAAGATGTAATAATTCAAGTGAAGGGCATAAGACTTTATTTTTCTATCTTGTTTAATAAGACCGAGTTGGACCTCGGACAACGTGTAATTTACGTGATTTCGATGCTATGTTGTTGTGTGATCATTTTCAGTTGATGAAGGCATGAAAACTCAATTTTTCGAGCTTCAGTTAGGCTCTGTTTTGTCGAACAACATCATGTTTCTTGGACAAGTGTTCTTCATGTGATTTGTAGTGCTCTAAGCGAAGTTTCTGTGAGTTTTGGAATTTTATGATTTGGAGTTAAAATGAATTTGTTATGATTTTTCAAAGTTCGTCGAGCATGCTGTTTTGATAAACTCGGACAGAAGGATTTGATTTTAGTTCATGGCTATTTATGATGATCTTAACATACCTGAATGGAAATGTGTTCTTCATGACAAATGTAGTATATGATGTAAATTGCCCGTAGGAATTGGAATTATGCAGTTTGGAGTTTTGGTTGATTTTATATGATTTTTCTAAGTTGGATTTGTGCCCAGGATTTTGAAACAGTGGCTGGGTGTATGCATGAAATGTATGCTCTGAATTGATGTCTTTAACGTGATTATATGTAAAAATGCTCTGCATGAAAATTGTAGTTTTCTTTGTGTAGATTATGTAGGTTTTGAGTTTGTATGAATTGGAGTGGTGTAACTTGAGTTGTTGCTATTTTACTAAGGTGTTGTGTTTTGAAAAAAAAAAAAAATTGTTCTCTGGCTGTTTTTGCAAACTAAATGTTTTATATTCAAACTTGTTGATAATGTTATAATTTGCCAATGGGGTCTTCAAAGAAGTTGTAGAGAATTGAGTTAGCTATCTTGGAGTTTTTGAATATCAATAATAACATGTTTTTAGCTTCGGTTATTGTGCATACACTGAGAACCTGTCAAGCTGTATATCATTATTTATCCACTGCACCTATGTTTTGGAGGTTTGCTGTATTATGTGCCTTTAAATGACTTTATCCGCCTGAGTGTTCCTCATGATAGTGATAGAGGCATGAGTTAGGTATATTTTCCAAGTCGTTTCATCATGATATGATTTGTAGACTGGAAACTATATGCATTATAAATTAAACACGCATGCTGAAAACTGGTGCTAGTTCATGTTTAGGTTTCCTAAATAAATTGTGAATTTTCAAAAATTAGCTTTTTGTCAATTTTCATGTATATGTGACTTATGTTTTTTAATCTGATTAGTATTATGTGTTAGCTGGAAACACTTGCGAGAGAAGATATACGCTAGACCTCGAAGTGTGGAGGCTATAGTTGTTTATGTGGTCGATCTCGTTTAGGACCGCCGGCACGATTAGCTACCTGAGTAAAAGCTGTCGTGACGGCCGACATTGTTAGTTGAAAGGGTCAAGCGAGTCAACCATTCTAATGTTCGGCGATGACCGCCGAGGTTAGGATTATTCCGGGCAGCGATGCCAATGTTTGATTTCTATGGAAAATTGTAGCTCAACAGTAATGCTTAAACTGTTGTAGTTTGAGAAGTATTGTAAGGAAGCCTTTTTCCTATCTAAGTACCTAGGATTATGAACCGGAAATGGAAATTTCTGGTGTGTACCTTAACTGAACGCCGAACCTGGATGGGTGTAGCCACGTGAAGTGGTGGTCGAGCCGCATGCCCGTGCTGGGAGACGTAAGGCTAACTGCAGTGGCCGACCGTTGACTCGCACGAGAGCTGCCGTCGCCATCACCGAACGCAGGAACTCCCCAGGCAATGTGTACGACCAAACCTCGATCTTGCAGCTGGTCTCTGAACAGGTGCATGCACACGTCCCGGCGCCCCGCTTATGCAGCGCCTGTGTGTGTGTCATCTCTCGGGTGACAGTGCCTTAAACCCCAAACCAAACCGTTGTATAAATCCCTAATCAGCGACTCTCGATAGTGAGGTTTGTCGATTAGTTTACCTTTGTCTTATGCGAGATTCTCTCGAGATAGCGAGATTTAGGTCCCTCATCGTTTTCGGGCAGTGTCCCGAGTCTCGATTGGAGACTATGTATACTTCCTAGGGATCGAGACCTACGAAGAGTGAGAGGGTATTGGTGTTAGATCGTAAGTATGGGAATATTGAGCATCCCTAATCGTGGGACTGATTCTGCGATAGGGGATTGTTTTCGAACATCTAGTCGATATTTCCTAAACCGCATTCGAGGTGTTATTCGAGTCGGCAAGGGAAGAGTTGTTGACAACGGTATCAAACAGAGCCGTGTGTTCTGTAGGTATCGGTGTTGAGGATATAGTGTTATTGTGGATTGTTAACCCATCCGTATGGGATTCCGTGGCGCCCTATTTTATAAGGACGCACAGATCATGTCGTTGTAGTAATCGAGTTTTCTACCGTGACCCGGGCACGAGATGGAAGCTCGATACAACAAGTCAACCCTATATGTTGATTTTGTTGGAGTATGCTATCGAGACACGAAAAGACCAGTTAGGGTCTTGTGTATTGATAGATGAGTAGAGTGTGAGAATACCTTACCATGGGGAGGTACGCTGGCTATCTAGCGACAACCCTAATGGTAACATGTGAGGTGGCTGGTACAGATGTAGGTGGAGCATGCCGTTGTTCTGGTTACTGCCACGCGTACTCAGTCCTATTTTTTTTATTCCAAACCAAGTCGATGATTTAGCATGATGGTTGACTCCACCACCGGAACTCGCGTGGATGCATGACACGTTTTGTGCCTCTTGATGGAGGGAAACGTGTGCGTGATCTCGGAGTACATGTGAGATGTGACGAGCTGCGTGTTAGGCAGAACCCTACCCATTTGGAGATACTGGTGACCTATTGGGACAGAGGGTCCATTAGGAAAAGGCCGGGAGGGGTACTTGTCAAGTCCAATGGAGGTTGTCAAGGCAAGGCGACTTGGGAGGAGGGGGACCAAAAATTCGGAGGAGATACCCGAATTTCATGTGTTGATGTTTTTCCCTCTTTTTCTCGTTTGTATCGTGTCGTAGTTTGTATTTCGAATTCCGAGAACGGAATTCTTTGTAAGGTGGGTAGACTGTAGCGCCCCGTTCGTTTATGGAATATTTGGGATTTTTAATTAATATTATTGTCATTATTATTATTATTTTTATTATTGTTATTATAATTTTATTTAAATGTCTAATTGTCTATTAAATGCTTAATGTGTATTATTATTATATAATTAATGTGTGTATTTTTATATATAAATATTATACGAATTTTATTTTAACTGTCGTGCGATCAACCTAGTTAGTTTTATTGTTGTAATAAATCGAGCCTTATTATTTTCAGCCCAAAAGAGCTAAATATTCCGGCCATGGGCCTGGGCTATTTTGGTTTTAATTCTCGGATCATTATTGCTAGTATTATCCGAGCCCAATTTGACTATTCGAATTTAATATTTCGACCCGAACCTTTCGTTTGACGATGGCCCATCTCGAATTAATCTCCAGACTCAAATTTGTGAATTTAATTTTGGCCTATTAGCTAATGTTTTTCGGCCCAAGTTGAGAAAAAGTCTCGGCCCAATGTCAATGAATTTGTCGGCCCAAAAGCTTAGTTTTTTTTTCCTCTCCAGTCTAATTGCGCAAAAAAAATAAATAAATAAATAAAAAGGGAGAAGCCTAGTCTTTTTTTAAAATCGATCGTCCTCTCCTCAGCACACCACACGCAGCTTTCTTCTTCTCCTATATCTCTCCCGATCTCACGCAGAGAAGCAAACAATTTCATCTCTCCCTCTCATCTTTTTCGATCGCCGCCATCGCCATCCTCTAGCAACGTCGTGAGCCCGTCCTTGTCGTGAACCAGTTCCGTCGCCATCACCATCACTGCGAGCAGGCCCGCCTTCCCGATTGTCGTCGATCTCTTCCACGCGCAGATGACCCGTGCTGCTCCTCCGCGTCGCTCAGCGGCCATCATCTCCGGCGACCAAGGAAACGAGCTGCTGACTTCTGTTCGATCTGAGAGGGGACCTTTGTCGCGGGTTGAAGCCAACTCCCCGACGACCTTGAGTAGCAGCGCCCGGCGAGTTCGAGCGCACGTCCGACTTTCGGCAATCTCAACTCTGTCCGCAACTGAGATGGAAGCCGACGACCTGAAGCGACTCCTTCTCCTCCTCGCACGAGCAAATCCGACGAGCCCTCCCTCTTCGCGTGCTTCCGATGTCCCCTGCCACCCGCGAAGGCCGTCCACCGCTGCTCTGCCCCGTCCCGCGTCTCAGGCCGCCATGAACCAGCAGGAGTCCCCCGCCGTCCCTCTCTCTAGCGGCAAATGACGACCTGCAACCCTAGCGGCGAGCAGCGGGTCCCGCCCTCTTCGACCACCCCGTCGGCTTCTCTTTCGGGCAGCAGCAGCCCCGTCGTCTGGCGGTGGGCAGCCGACGACTCACAGACAGCTGTACCGAAGCTTTGTTCGCACGAGACGAGCATCCGCCGTCGAGCCCGAGTACCATTCAGCTTCTCTTTCGATCGTTTTTCGAGCTTTCCCGAGAACGGTATCTAGTAGAATTCCATCTCGTTTAAATCGTTTATGTGATTTATGTATTATGTTTCATTTAAGAGATGCGATTATATTTGCGATCATGTGTTGATATGGTATATGTGAAAATCGTGATTTGTTGTGTGTTCGTATTATTCGAGATCTCTTCAATTATGAGAAATTGAACGAGACCCCGAAACTCGTGTAAGTCGGTGGATATTGGAACAACGTCGAGTCCTTGGCCTTATGGGAAGGCCTCGGACGAGAAATTTCATGTTAGGAATTATGTGTTGAATTGTCGATTCCGGAAATTGCTGAATTAGTATTTGAATTATTAAAAATCGCACACTGCTCGGAATGACTTGAAATTTTTAGGAATATGTTATCTGTTCATTGCCAGCCTTGCGTAAAAATTTCGTAATTTTTAGAGGCCTGTAGCTATTTTTAAAAATTAAAGTGAATTCTGATCAGAATATTGTTTAATGCTTAGTAAATTGGATCCGGGGTGTGCTCTTTCTTATTGAGCCTATTGGTTTGTGACTCAAATGAGCTGAAATTTTAGTATGTTGTGCTACTGTTGTGTTTGTGTGCTGTGTTAAGTTTTTAGAATTTTTGGGTTGAATTTGATATGGATAATGCTTTGTTTTCTGTTTCTGCTGAAAGTTGTATCAACTATTAAAAATCGGTTCTTCATTGAAAAATTCTGAAACTTGACTGCGATGCTTATTTTATTTTTATATTTATGCTGTTAAAAGATGGAAATTTTTGGAGTCCAATTTAATTCGGTTTTGATTTAAATTCGATAACTGCTGACTCTTGTCAGAATTTTTAAAATTAGCACAGATAATGTCCAGGCCTGAGATTTTTACATGTTGTCTATATCCTGCTGTAGCTTGTGAGTTTAAATTTTCAAGTCCTGATTCATTCATTAGGTTCAGATATAAATTCATGTGCGTTTTTGCTGAATTTTTGTAGGAATTTTATAAATTTATGTGCTTTGAGTTTGAAGCTGAAATTTTGTGGTTTTACTAATTTCTGGGAGATGTAATTTTGGGCAAAATTTCAGAGCTTAGGTCGTAGGGTAGCCTGACCATCTATTTTCATGTGATTAATGATTACTATTTTCAAAACATGATTTTGAAATGAAAAGTTGGGAATCGACTTGCTTTTCGTTTTGATGTGAGTTTGACTTGGTCAATCCTTAGATGGATTTATGTGAACTCCCTTATGTAGTTTGGTCGGGTTTAGTTCCGAGTCTTAATGTTCCAACATCCACAGAACTTCACGATCTACTTAGTCGAAACAAGTTCGACTAGGTCTGTTTTGTGTTTTCCTTTTTAAGTCAAGATATTTATTGTAGGACCTTGACTTAATGTAGGTGTTTGAGGAGTCAAGCCTCGACCCACATCTTTTCTGATAATTGCTATCGTCCATCCGAATTTCCAAGTGGGTTGTTATTCTAAAATTATCTGTGCAATGTGTGTTAAATATGTTTATTGTTTTGGCGTGATCTATGTATGAATGTGAATATGTAGCCTACCGATGTGAGCTATTATGATGGCCATCGATACGGTTGTCCCCGTCGATGTAATACGGTTGCCTTATGAGGCAAGTCTCCTTAAGACCTATTATGAAAGGTCGTGTCCTTGCGTGGCACGTACTCTCGCCGTTAGGGTAATGAATCCCCTTTCCGCGACTATTATGAAAGATGTGCACAGGAGTATTTATGTTTATGTTGGAGATGTGACATATGTGATATTGCTTATGTTCATGCTGTGACCATGCCTATTTAACATATTACTATATGTGCATTGCATAGTGTGAGTACGATATTTAACTTTACTCGCTCCCACCTGCTCGTAACTTATGCAGGTTAAGCAGTGGCGCGTGACGAGATAAGACGGATGGTGGTCATTGCTTATTGTGCTTATTAAATTGCTTCCGCTTATTTATGAACTGTGTTGGTATTGAACTTGTTTGGATTGGATTTTGAACTTGTTCATTTTGGAAAACTTTCGAATTTGGTTTACGATGAAAAACCCTACTTGATATATGATTGAGTATGATCTGATGTTAAATTTAGCGATTTATGGTTAATGAAAACCGTTGAAAAATCGGGTAATGAATCCCCGTAGTTCAGTTATGATTTGAACTGTATTTATGAAAGGAATTAGTAACGTCAAAAATTTATGATTCGAAAAATAAGTTTCGAAAATTTTTACCTTGATTTTTGGAAAAGCCATGGATTTTCTTTAAAAATCGATTGGGGCGTTACAAATCATTTCCTCAAATTTTGAAATACGCCATTCCGGAATCGTCGCTTGTATCTTATCACCCTATAGAAAAGTTGTCGTATAAATTAGTTTGATGGAAAAAAAAAACAAAAAAAAAAAGAATTGAGAATGATAGATCAAAGTAATATGAAAAGCAATACATGTTCATCCACAATACAAATCTCCATAGTTTGGCACATTTCGGGCTGCTTTAGCATGTGCTTAAACCATACTCGCAAACAACGAACACGCATTCGCTATGTCCCTTTTTCTTTAGTGATTTCACCAATAAAGTTGAATGTCATTGTCATAATTGTACGTGATGTACAATCTCCTCACCCACTCAAATAAAAAAGAATGAACTAAATAGTTCACAAACCCTACCCCCAATTCCCGTCGCTCAAAAATTTCCGCCGCTTGCACTTAATTTCCGGTTAAATCACCTTCCCCGGTGACGGCAATGCTCTTGCTAGCGGTCGTCTTCGACCGCTCGGCCCGACCCTAACGTCTTGTGTCTCCATGGACTCTGCAGGTGCCGCGAGATGTGGCTTCCCTTCGGTCGCTGGTCCATCTTCGGTCGCCGGCGTGGCTGCGTTGGGCGATGTCGCACCCTCGATCTGCGTCTGGTGTCTTCTCTTGGTCGCTGGCGGTCATCGATTAGGTGTGGGCTGCCCTCGCATCCTTTCTGTTCGGTGATTGGAGGTATTCTCGGTTGGCTTCGCTGCTCAAGGTGGGGTTTTCGGGGGTGCTTTGGGCTCCAGTCGTCGGAGATCTGCAGGGGTTTAGGGAGGCGTGTAAGATTGCGGGCGGGCAGAACTTCGGTTGCTGCGGCACTCCAGTTGCGGCTGTCGGGGTAGAGGGACCGGCTTACTCTCACCCTCCTCTCTTCGGCTAGTGGTGTTAGGCGGAGGGGGATCTGGTTTTCTCGAGCTCGGCTAGTGGTGTTAGTCGGGCTTGAGCGGGCTGGCGTGGGGGCGGGTCGTTTTCTCTCGGTTGTTGACGGATTGATGCGGGATTGATTTGGTGCTCGGTTTGGCTACTGTATAGGCGTTCGCGCAGTTTCGGTAGTGTTATCTCGGGCCTGGATTATATCTTGTGTCGATTGTTCTCTGCTGGTTGGGTTTGTTAGTTTGTCGGGGAAGGGCTGTCTGTGTTTTCTAGTTTGTGTTGCTTTCGTTTGTGTTGTCTGTGTCTGTTTTTGTCTCGTGTTTTGTTGTAGTTTGTTCGAGTCTGTGTTCGGTGTGTTTGTTCGTTTTTGTTTGGGAAATGAATACAAGCTAGGCATTGTGCAGTGGCTCTGTTTTTCATTTTCTTTTTTTTTTCGTTTTATGGAGTTCTCTTTATACATGGTAGTATAAAAAGCTTGAGATGTGTGAATAAAATATTTATGGCAATAAATAAATAATTGATTTCAACATCAAATACCAAAGGGGGATGTGACTAAAAAAATGGAAACAAAATAAGTAGCTACACAAAATAAGGAATAATATAAATGATCACAAAATTAAAGAAAAATCGCTTTTTATTGTGATTTATGGGATTGTGATAATATCTTGGAAAAAAAGAGACAGAAAACGGGGGATGATCTTTCTTTTCACCTCAGCATCCGAGATTTTTTTTTTCCGGGATGAATAGTGATTCATGGAGACTGTCCTCTATTAATCCCCAAAATTATAACAATAAAAAGTTTAATAAAGGTGAAAAACAAAGGATTATATTAAAATTATTCAAATTTTCTGTATTGTATATAGAAGAAAGTACAAAAGGGCCAAGAGATTCGCACCATTAATCGCGAGGAAGGAACTGGTTTATGCTTAAGGCCAAGGCGAACGTGGCATCGACATGCTTAAGTGCAAGTCGATCTTCTTCATCAACATTAGCCAGAAACCATCGAAGTGATCCATATGTATTACGTGGGTCTTTGGCAACTGCCGCCTTAAGAACACCGACATAGAGTGCTGTGAGAGAGAGAACAGTGCTTTTTCTCTCCAAGGGATAGAGTGAGCAGAGAGTAAGTGGAGGCAAATCTGGATGTAATGCCCCACTTTGATTTAACGAAAATCCATGGCTTTTCAGAAAAATCAATTCATTTCAAAACAATTGTGGCGTTACTCATTAAAATCAACATCAACAGTTATTTCAATACTATCAATTATAAAATCAACTCCCAACTCGGGTTTCATCACAAGTCATCATTTACCCAAACCGGGTTTCCAAAAATCATCACAGTATAAAAGGGGCATCTCCCCAACATTATTTCAATCGCCATAAAATCTCAAGTTCATAAAATCATAAGATCCCAAGTTCGTAATATCCCAAGTCATGAAATCATAAATCATAAAATAGTTCATGTAGCGGAAGCATAAAAATCAATAATCTGGTCATATAGATCGATCACCACTCGCTCCACTCCGCCGTGCTCGCACCTTCTTAACCTGCATCTGTGAAGAAAAAGTGGGGGTGAGCACATGTGGAATCCGTGGTGCTTACCACTATGCAATAAACAACATTAATCAAGATATGTATGGTCGCAACATGTATACGAATCAATTATCTATCCCATCTCTCATATCATAAAATCAAGTCTCATGTGCACACCTACGCATAGACTACTGCTGATACACGTATCGAATGCCTCTCAGGTCTTACAACGATGCCCAAACAGTAGGAGTTTCCTCCGTCGGCCGAGCACTGCCCTGGTCTCACAACGGGGTACATATCATCGACCGAGCACAACCTTGGTCTTATAGGCGTAAAGAGGAGATTACCTCAACGGGGTCTGTTCCATAACTATGGGGAACCGTTCGACGGTCGGTACAACTCATCGAAGGCCACATGGTTCACATGCATACATTGATCATACCACACGTAAGGCAACAATTTACTGCATAGCAATTTCAAATAAAACCCACCTGGTTACCGAAATGGTAGATTCACACAAGGCAAGGACTTAGGTCGAGGATTTAGCTTGTCGAACCTACATTTATCAAGATAGCCCTATAAATAACTATTCGACACATGGATTTACATTCAATAACATTCACTTAGTCGAAACATTATCGACTAAGTGATTCGTGGAATTCTTAATGGAGTTTGGAACCTTTGGCTTAACCGTCTAGACTCGAAAAACCAATTATACGTCATATAGAACACATATAGCATGATGAACAATGAGTTGGGTCACTAGTAAGTCAAACAAGTCGGGAAATAGTCAAACTGGGGTGCTGCCGGGGCACTGGCACGGGCCTGGCGCGGACCGGCACGGGCAGGTGTCCCTGGTCGGCCCTGGACAGCAGGCTGGTTTGATATAACATCCAAACCTTTTCAAAATCCACTCGACCAAATTCAATGAAATTTTACCAAATAATAATACACCCTGAAGTACACATATACACAAAAAATCAACCCTTATAAATCATTTTAATCTTGGGAAATTATTTTTGCAAAAATACAGCCGTAGAGTAAAATTCCAAGTTCCCCAGGTAAACCTTCGAGTTTTTACATGAAATTTTAACACAAATAGCAAAGAACAGAGAAAAACAACATATCCAAAATTCAACCTATTTGGAGCAATATTCGAATTTATATGAATTTATCCAGATTCCGACCAGAACTTCGATTCAACAAAACACATAGCTATAGGTCGAATTTAGACTTGAAATTTTTACACCATAAACTTCATCAACAGAGGTCCAACATATCAAAAATTCACAACCAAATGACTAGAACTCGATTTATCATGATTTTTCAAAAGTTCAGCAGTAGGATCAACTTCAAAAAAAATACTCAACAAAACGACCCAAGGTCTTCACCATCAGACCAAGGACTCTCCAAAGGACCTATTACTCTAGGGTTTCCACTAATTTCATTCAGGTTTTTTGGTTTCAGCAATAAACTGAAAGAACGACCACAAATCAATATAATTATAATATCATACAATTACCAAAACACAATAATTCACTACCACAGCATATGAACACATATATACATCAAAATATGGGGGGTTCCATCCATCCATTACTGTTCGCCGAAAGGTTGCTCAAAATCGAACAGAAGGGGGCCGAAACGTAATCGAGGGTGCGCGCAGGTGGGCTCGGCGGCGATGCGCGGCTCGCGGCTTGCGTTTGGCACTCCCGGTGGGCTGCGATCGAGTGATGGCGGGTCCTTGCTGGCCGTATCACACACGAACAGAGACCTTGCTGGATGGAAGGATAGCTCGCGGGAGGGGAATCCGGGATGACATTGCATGCGGGGCTCAACGGGGCGTGCACGCGAGTAATATAAGGCTCGATTCTTAGTTATTCATCTAGGTTCACTTAGTCCGAAAAATTAGACGACGATCAGAAAATAAAATATGACTACCGGGAAAAATTAAATTATATTGTCACATAATAATATACATATAAATCAAACAATTATATCACTTGGGCGAATTAATTTCAAATAATAATACTAATGCCAATAAAATAATATCCGCAAAATCCAATAATCGAATGGGTTAGATCCGATTTACGCGATTAAACCGAAATCGCAGAACGACGAATGTTTACAATAAAACGATTGAGTACTTAAATATATAATTTAAGTGGACATCGCGATCAATACAACAAATATAATCTCATAAATAAAATTCGATAAATAGAATAGTCCGAGAAATTCTATAAATCGAACGGGGCGCTACACTGGAGGTGCTCGGGTTCATCAAATTAGGGGAAATCAATTTGGATATAATCGATTTGAAAATATACGTGATGGGTTTCACATTGGGGATAACAAAGTTATAAAATTCAATTGAAAAGTCATCAATGGCACTCCGGTGAGAGTAACATGAAAAGGAAGAGGAAGATGATAGACACATTCACTTGGAAAGAAATTAATCACAGATTGTGTAAGATTACAAATAATTATGCGTTAGATTTTTGTTAGGTGTAAGATTACAAAATAATTAGAGGGTTATATTAGTCTAAGTGTTATGAAATTACCTAAGTTAGTTTTTTGATATATATATATGGAATATCCGAACCTAAAATTATAGAATTAAAATAACAATAATTTTATCCAAACCAAATACCGAAGCATGAATTTTCCCCAAGTAGGATTTCTGAAGCGTGCGAGCCTATGATTTAGGCTCAACACGTTCTGAATTAATATATAGGGGATATTTGAATTAAGGTGGGTTTGGTTACTTTGACAGATTGGGCTTGATACAATCTATTAAGTTTGGGCCCTGATGTAGCAAGGCTTTTATCCTTTG